CATGCACCAGTATGCGTCTGCAGGCGCGCGAGAATGATTCCTCAGCCTTCACCAGACGAACGGTGAATGTTCGCACGGAGATGGACATGAGGATCTGGGCACCTAGGCAACTAGAGAATTGTTTCGGTCAGAGCGCAACACGCATTATTTATGGCTTGACTATACTTTGATACGAAGTGTAGAAAGCCGCTAATGAGCTTCAAGCTAGATATGCTTGTTTGCGGCCAATATTTGTTTAGCGTCGGGAGTCCGAGACTCGAGTCTCAGAGACTTCAAAAACCATGGGCGCCTATGCTGTTGGTTTACATAGTGTGCCCCAGCGGGAGTTAAATGCAATCACACCGCCCTGGTCATCCCATACTGGTTTTTTCATCCGTCTGATTCATGTGTTACAATTCGTACAGGGAATAAAGAATGTTTCAAGCCGAATCAAAGACAACAGCACAACAAGAGACGAAGAGCGAGCAAGGGACTACAACAATGCAACACAACACGGTCAGCATTCTACCGGGAGATACCGGCAGTCGCTTTTTGGAGAGCACGCTTGATGCCCAGCTGCGCCTTCCTGAGCTCATCAGAGCTCGAGTCCTCGATCTCAAGCTTCTCGAGAGCACGGGCGAGTTCAGCCTCAACCTGGGCCTTGGCACCACGCCTGAGCTTCATGGAGAGCTCAGGGCTGGTGATGGTGTTCTCGACCTGGTGAATGTAGGCCTCGAGGTCAGACTTCGCCTCGTGGCGAGCGGAGAAATCCTTGTCGGCCTGCTTGAACTGCTCAGCATCCTTGATCATCTGCTCAATCTCTGCGGACGAAAGACGGCCGACAGAGTTGGTGATGCCTGATGCAGGAAGAGTTAGTATCTCGCCTCAGTGCCTCTATACGCGAAACTTACTGATCTGAGCCTTGCGGCCAGAGGCACGGTCCTGAGCGGTGACCTTGAGGAGACCGTTGGCATCGACCTCGAAGGTAGTAGCAAGCTCGGCTTGACCACGGGGCATGGGGGGAATGCCCGTGAGCTCGAACTCGCCAAGGAGACGATTATCACGGCACTGGGTGCGCTCACCCTCGTAGACGGGGAAGGTAACAGTCGTCTGGTTGTCCTCGACAGTGGTGAAGACACGAGACTTGTTGGTGGGAATGGGGGTATTACGGGGAACGACGACACCGAAGATGTCACCCTGCATGGCGACACCAAGGGAAAGGGGAGCGACATCAAGAAGGAGGAGGTCGGCGGTCTTGTCAGAGGTCTGACCAGTGAGCACGGCAGCCTGGACGGCAGCACCGTAAGCAACAGCCTCATCCGGATTGATAGACTTGTTGAGCTGGCGTCCACCAAAATACTCCGAGACAAGCGACTGGATCTTTGGGATACGAGTCGAACCACCAACAAGGACGATGTCGTCGACCTTGTCGCGCGCCATCTTAGCATCCTTCAGGACTCGCTCAACAGGGTCGACGGTGGACTTGAAGAGAGTGGCATTGATCTCCTCGAAACGAGCACGAGTTATGTTTGCAGAGAAGTCTTCACCTTGGAAGAGTGAGTCAACCTCAACGGTAGTCTGAGTGACGCTGGACAGGGTGCGCTTGGCACGCTCGCAGGCGGAGCGAAGACGACGGATGGCACGGGGATCCTCAGAGATATCGTGACTAGTCTTCTTGTGGAATTCTTTCTTGAAGTGCTCAAGAAGGTTGTTGTCGAAGTCCTCACCACCCAAGTGAGTATCACCAGCGGTAGCCTTGACGGCGAAAACACCACCAGTGATACTGAGGAGGGAGACATCGAAGGTACCACCACCAAGATCGAAGATTAGGACATGCTTCTCCTGGGCCGACTTCTGGTCAAGACCGTAAGCAATAGCAGCCGCAGTGGGCTCGTTGATGATACGGAGGACCTCGAGGCCGGAAATGGCACCTGCGTCCTTCGTGGCAAGACGCTGCGAGTCATTGAAGTAGGCAGGAACACTGGCAGACATAGTGTCCTTAGGCATTGAACTGGTTTTTTAGGCATAAGTAGAGGTACTTACGTGACTACAGCCTTCTTAACCTCCTTGCCCAACTTCGCCTCAGAAATTTCCTTCATTTTCGTGAGGACCATGGAAGAGATTTCCTGAGGAGAAAAGGACTTCTCCTCACCAAGGTACTGAACCTTGATGAGCGGAGCACCATCCTTCTCGACAACCTCGAAGGGCCAATGAGTCATGTCCTTCTTGACGTCCGGGTCGCTGTGGAATAGAAAAACGCCATTCAAAACCGCGCAAAAGCAGACTAAATATCGCGCTACGCACTCGTAACGACGACCAATGAGACGCTTAGCGTCGAAGACCGTGTTGCGGGGGTTCATGGCGGCCTGATTCTTAGCGGCATCACCAATGAGGCGCTCCTCAGAGGAGAAAGCGACGTAGGAGGGCGTTGTCCGATTACCCTCTGCAAAAAATGAATCCCCCAGTCATTCTATACACTCTAAAGCACTTACGGTCATTGGCAATGATCTCGACACGGTCGTTTTGCCAGACACCGACACACCTGCAATCCAAAAGCTCAGTACGACTGTAAAAGCGTCCCCCTGTCCCAGGAAACTCACGAGTAGGTGGTTCCAAGGTCGATACCAACAGCGCCTTCGAACGCGTCCTCCATTTTTAGGAAAAGAAAGAGAGAGTGAAGAGAGGAAAAGAAGAGGCGAAGTGGTGGGCGATGGGCAAGCTGCACGAAAAACTTAAAAATCGATCAACGCTGCTGAGGTAAGCGGAAAGTCACGCCTAGACGCCGGCGCCTACCACTTAGAATCCTCACGCTTCCGCCATGTCAGGCCAGGTTGTGAGAACCTGGCTCGCGGCCACTGCAAGATGTTCGCGGCGACCGCAACGCTCTGTAGCCCGCGTCGGTGGCGTACGACATTATCTCAAAGCCACGGGCGAGGAGAAACCTCCCGAGACGCAAGCTGAATGGCTTAGGCTGCAACTCAACCGCCAGGATATCAAAAATCTTGGTATGTCACAACGCTCGAGGGTTCAACTGCTCCGGATCGTCTGAGTCGAACTCGCTACTTTCAGTTGAAAATTTTGGTAGCCATAGCTCCACTCAGACGCGAGAGAACACGTTCCAACCCCACCATTCTCTCCACCGACCTCCGCCGCCGTCACAAACCACGCTGTCTGCGCTCGTCGCTGCCGGAGCACATCTCGGACACTCAAAATCTCTCATGAATCCGAACTTTGTTTCATACGCTTACGGCGAGCGGGCGGGCATCACCATCATCGACCTGGACCATACATTACCACTGCTCCGCCGCGCAGCGAAGGTTGTCCGTGGTGTCGCAGCCAGGAATGGGATGGTTGTCTTCATTGGTACACGTCCCGACCTTCGCGTCGTCGTTCGCAAAGCTGCCGAACGCCTGGGAAGCCAGGGTTACCACGTCGGCGAACGTTGGCTGCCAGGAACACTGACCAACAGGACTGAGGTCTTCGGCATCGAGGCCCGCCGGACAAAGCGCCTCGTCCCTGACTTGGCCATCATCCTCAACCCCATTTCAAACTATAATGCGATACGAGAATGCGCAATGGAACACATCCCGACCATTGGCATCATTGACTCGAACGTTGACCCGCGTTTGGTCATGTACCCAATACCTGCTAACGACGAGAGCACCCGGACAGCCGAACTCATTGCCGGAGTCCTCAGCGTAGCTGGTCGGGAAGGTGTCGCTTTGGCGGAAGCCGAAGCCATGAGGCGGAAACAGAGGGACATCATGATGAAGAGAACACTTCTCAAGCAGACGGGGAAGGTAGATACTGCATAGTCATGGTATGGTAGTAGGATCCTCCAACTTAATTCTACTGCTCGCCGTTTGAGGCGTTTTGAATGTCATACCAGTACTCTGTGGCATCCATTAGTATACTCCCTACGGTCAAGTGGAGTATAGTACTAACTCTCTGCCTGCTCGATGGCCCTGAGGTTGCCCTGGAGCTTGTTAACTGTCTCGATGTATTCGTCCTCCTCGATGCTGTCAAACACGATACCTCCACCCGCCTGCAAGTAAGCGGTGCCATTCTTGAACACCGTGGTACGTATGGCTATGCACACATCCATCTCGTCTTCTGCGAAGTCGAAACGACCGACAGCGCCGGCATATACACCCCGGCGATCCTGTTCGAGCTCATAGACAATCTCGATAGCCTTGATTTTCGGCGCGCCAGATACAGTACCGGCAGGGAATATTGATCGGAAAGCATCAAATCTACGAAGTCCAGGTAAGCGAATAGCTTACTTTCATTCAATGAGAGAATGCGCACCTCGTCTTGCCCTCGCGAAGGAGACCAGATACTTGAGACGTGAGATGGATGACATGGCTAAAGCGCTCTAGGCGCATCAGGTGGTCTACCTTGACTGTCTTCGGTTGGCAGACCCTGTTGACATCGTTCCGAGCCAGATCCACGAGCATAATATGCTCTGCACGATCCTTCTCAGAGTTCAGAAGCTCTTGACCAAGCCTCTCGTCCTCTGCGCGGCGATTTCAACACATAGCCTCGGTATGATGGAAGCTCAAATACATACCTTCTGGAGTCTTCCCACGCTTGACAGTCCCCGCAATGGCGTGGTTGAACACTTTGTTCTTCTCCACCTTGCAAAGTGTCTCCGGACTTGCACCTACTATTTTGAGGCCTCCACAGTCCAAGTAGAACATGTATGGACTTGGATTGACTCTCCGGAGATGACGATAGACGTTGAATGGATGAAGAGAAGTTGGGCGTGTTAGTCGCTGCGATGGGACAGCCTGAATGATATCTCCTGCGACAATATGTTCCTTCAGCTTGGTCACAAAACCTTCGTAACCCTCCTTGCCGACGTTTGACACGGCCTCAGTGCCAATGGTGGTGATGGGTGGCTGTGGGATCTCCGGAGTAATGGGTTCCAGGATGAGCTTGGCCAGCCTTCGCGCCTTCGACACCGCAGTTTCGTACATGAAAGGCAGGTTATTAGATGACATGCCGTCAGGGAAGAATATGTGGGAGACAGCCTTGACGGTCTGGAATAGGTGGTCGTAAATGACTATAGTGTCGGCGAGCATGAAAACGGACTCTGGGAGACCGAGAGTGTCCTTCGTTGCACGTGTAGTCTTCGGCTCGAAGTGCTGAATACAATCATACGCGACATAGCCGATGGCGCCGCCAGTGAACGTCGGAACCTCCGGCAGCTTAACATACCTGTGTTGTGCCAGCTCCTGCTGCAGAGGGCCAGTAGGATCACCCTTGATGAGCTCGTTCGGACCTGTCTTGATGACCTTAAATGGGTCTGCATGCAGCTTGCATCAGAGCATGCACTGCATGAGATGAACTTCCTGCTTACCTGCGCCGACGAAGCTATATCGCGCCAGGTTCTCTCCATTCACGACAGACTCGAGCAGGAAACTGTATTCGGATTCCTTAGATATGCGCAAGTAGGCCGTGCATGGCGTGAGGAGGTCGCCGGGTAGCTCAACGAACACGGGGACACAATTCCCTCGCTTTTCCTTGAGAATCAGCTGCTCGACTAGCGAGAGTGGTGGATATGCTGGGAGCCTCTAGAGGAGTATGTAAGAGTCAGCTTTTGTTTCGTAGTATGCTGGCATAAACAGGGCTCACCTCAACGTCCATGGCAGTTGTGGTATAAGATCTGGGTCGAATGACCCGCGCACGAACTTGACTCCCGCTATATTGTCGGCACTTCTATATCCTCCTCGCCGCCTGCCGACACACCGAAATCTGTTGTGGCATCTTCTTGTGGCGGTGCAATTTTCGAATCCTTGATCGTTTTTGCTATTTGGGCCGTTGTTGTCTGTCGCGACAACATCTGAAAACACCGTTCAGCTGCAGCCATTCCCCGACATCTCGGCCACCAAGTCATCATGATAACACCACGCTTTTCGTGCTCACAGACAGAGAAATCTGTCACAGTGTCGGTGTACTGCCCTTCTGTTCGTGTGAGTATGGAGTTTTCATCTTCATTCCTGCAAGGCCGGAGCTGATATTGTTGGCTCGGAAGTAGGCATCCGACGTCGAGATAAACGTGGATGATACACTGTTCACCTTGCACATAACCCCTTATTATCTGCGCCTTAACTTCCCCCACGCGCTGCAAGAAGATGATGAAGCCTCGGCACAGTACGATCCGGGTTCGGGCTTTCTAGATGTCATCTTGACGAAGGCCTTGCCCGGACAGCATTTCGAGGACCTGGATCTCCTTGCAAAACTGCTTGCGCCTCGACTGGCAGAACAACCGTCTCAAGGCCCATTGATAGAGGTGTTAGGCACCCAAAATGCTGTAGAACCGGCAGAAGACGACTTGGTCACCCGGACGGAGGGTCTCAGCCTGGAACAACAGGAAATATTGGAAGGTACGTTACTCTTATCTAAAGCGTCGCCGTTTAGGCTGACAAACCCTAGCTGCTGCGAATGATTGGCAGCTAAGACAAGATGTCTCCGAGCCTCTCGACACATTCAAAATAACGCCTCAGGAGCGCTATGGCTTCTTGGACATGTACACAGGGTATTTTCAGCATATAGAGCACACGCCAAACGAGATTAACGAGCTCGGCGCGGAGGTAGAGACGTGCCCTCCGACTGAGCGGAGAAAAAGGCGGCAGCAACACGAAGAGGAAAGATGGGACGAAGAGCATTATATGTGAATCTCTACTCGAATACTCTACAAGTAGTGTACTAATACTCCATAGGGCTGATTTTGCGGACGATGAGTACATCCAGGAGCTTGTTCGCTGGACGCATCCACATGCTGTGCCCGTCGCTGACTTCCAGTACACGGAAGCAGAGAACATGAAAATGCTGCAGCTGCCGCGAAAAGAATGTGCGGATTCAGACTATTCTGGTGCAGACTCGTTGCTGACTATTTCAAAGACCTTGCTACGCCATACCAGACACATCAGCTCTACTTGACACTGCTCACACTCCTGTTCGCGTACGCTTACGAGTCGCGGACCACTCAGCTCGACCCAACCCCAGAGAGCGGCTGGACTATCAGCTCTCTCGTACCTGCATTTTCGGCTTTGGACCCCCCGCCCTACTCGCCGACGTCACATCTCAGCCCAGAGACATTTGACCTCTCCGAAATGGCAGCGACGTTCACCGTGTCTTATCGGCGGTCGCTGACCTTCCCGCTCTTCCGGTCGTGGGTCCTCGCAGAGCGGTGTCGCGCAGACGTCGCCGCTTTCCTACGCGCCGGGAGACGATCGGTCGTCCGGTGCTTGTTGGAGATAAAGGATATTCTCGACCACCACGAGGTGTACTACGTCTACAGCAAAATCTGGGTCGACGATTTTTGCGTGTGGGTCCAGTCTGCAAGGTACGCCGTCATTATTCTTGCGCCTTTCCTGTGCTAACATCACCGTAGAGATGAAGTTTTGCAGCAGCTGGCAGACTCTGTGGCGTCGCTCAAGATGGAGAAGAGCTACATCGACTGGAACCTAGAGGAGCTGGAGAGGCTGACACAGGAGGACCTGGAGCGATCAACCGACAGCGACGACGAATCAGAAGACGAGGTAGAACGCATGTTGCCGGCTCCTCTCTGACCTTCGGACATAGTGCGTAACTTCACTTGCTGTGATACGTGCGGCCATTTCGAGGTTCGAAAATGCCACGATTTGTGCATTAGCTTGTCGCCGCGGTGACCAGTTTGATTCCAAAGGCGGAGATGGTACGACAGAGTGTATTGTCACTAGGCTGGCATCCGGGCCTTCTATTCGCATCCAATACTACCGTAGAATTGAAATCGGTGTCTGAACCTTTGGGCAATAAACGTATTTTGGCCCGCACGTATGCGATTATTTCGAAATGTCTGTGGGACTAGCCTGCGGTGATGAGATTGTGTGCCCATACACGTTGGAAGGCTGGGTACTTGTGTTCATAACTAGCCACGAAGCATATGCGTGGAACGGTCGAGGATTGCAGCGTGGGTGTAACGAGCAAATTCGCGGCGAAATGCTAAAAGTTTGGCTTGGTCATGCGAGCGAACGAGATTGTGGTATCACAGTGCAATTGAGACGAACACTGGGCGAGCTTTCCAGAGCTCGAACTCACAGATAGCGACTCTAGATGTAAAGAAGCAGAAGCCGCTCGTGCAGCATTGGAGAGTTTGCTACTGACCGACCAACGGCGAAACAATATGACCAAGAACGTCTTAGGAGCGCATAGAGACTCAAGGAAGACACTTGTGCTGCCACCATACCCCACGGTACTTCGGGCCCACCGTATTCACAACGGTCTTTCGACGGTCTTTCTGCTTAAATCTCGTCCTATGAATCCGGATCCGGAGCACCAAGAAATGGAGCGAATTATATGGCTACCGAAGCTATACAATCATGCGCCTGACCGCGCGAAGCTGAGCGAAGAAGCTATCCCTGCCTTCTCACCACTAGCGGGAGGAGTGGCCTGCTAAAATCGGGCGATGCGGGAGGCTGGGATGAAAAGTGATCTGCAAGGCTCTGCTGAGTCGAACTGTGTCGCAGCCAATAGAGACGCTAGACTACCGAAGCTCGCCAGATCCTCAAGTGAACGGAAGTGAGAGTCGAAGGAATAGATCGCGACTGGAGTGGTATTTCATCCCACCACATACATCTCAGGACTTTGGCCGCTCTTAGAAGGGGATATCTGAGACCGCGGGCGGTTGCCTTGTGCGTCCCCGTCGGCCAGTGCGCGACAAGATCGTCTCGCTATGTTCTGGACCGATGGCTAGGCTGTCTTGTTTGTCATCTGAGGTGGGCAAAGGAAGCGTCGGCAGGTGCTGTCAATGCATGGCAACTGAACGCAGAAGTACTGCCTGCGACCGGGCGACAGATCCTTCTGCTCACATCGAGACGGTCGGGTCGACGATTGGATGGTCCCCAGCCTCGTGTGACAGCGGGTGAAATTCTGGCAGATGTAGAACATCAAGTCTTCAAGCGTGACCGGGCTGTATGAAATTGGATGCTCACCGCGAATCTAGACTACACAACGGACTTCATGTGGATCGCGTTATTGGTACCGCGTATCCCACTGGCATACGGGCTCTACTCGGCGAGGGCACAGCTGTAAATGGGCCCTCAGCTTCACCCTGCAATATGGACAAG